AAAAATGTCCAATTTTGACATTTTTGCAACTTCTTAAAAAATGTGACAATTTGGTACAAACATGATAACAAAATGACATTTGGTGTAATTTCCTCTAGTTTTTTTTATACATAGGGATGAGGTACGCAGATTTAGGTGGGTGCGGTAAGGGATATTGGGATTGGGGGGTGGATCAGGAGTGGGGTGGGGTGGTTTCTCAATTTTATTAGATTTCAAGATAATAAATATGAACTTTAGATTGATTTATATTAAGGACAAAGATTTGACTGATGCTGCATCTTGTCGAAGGACCTCTCGATTTGGTACTTAAAATATTCTTTTAATTAGCAATCGTTTTGGTGGTGGAAATTAAAATATTCTTATAATCCGTGGGCCCATGTATAATGTCACTGTCAATGTCTACGTGCTTCGAGAATTTAGAATATGTGCCAAGATTCTGGTTTTCTCTGAAGACCTTTGTGTTACGTGTATGATTTAGTGTGCATAATTTTATAAATTGATAATTAAACCAATGAAAATTTTACATTTAACTGCTAAATCATCATTCATATCGATGGAGTAAAAATCAAAGACATGACTAAGTTTTGTCTGAATTGTGGGGTTTCATTTTTGACAAAAATTTATTACACTAAGTTTCAATTGTGGGGTTTCATTAATGTTTTGGAAGTGAAATAAATAAATACGTAGTAATGACGAACGATTCTAGAAAATGGCACATCTCCAAATACTTGTAGTGTGCGAATATTCTCCCTACAAAGATTTTTGACAAATGAATTCGACAATAAATTTCAAACCTTGATATAAATCAATCTAAATCTCTAGATTTATTTTCTTGAAATATACTAAAATTTTGAAATTGGCCCCACCAAACTCCTTTCTTCCGTCAATTAATTTCACTTAATTTTTTTATATTTTCAGTTCAAATTCATGCATTGGGGTATTTATCATAGAACCTACTGTCGAATCTTGTGCTCGAAAAAGAATTATGAGCGTTAGAGTTGATAAAATTGATGCAAGTATATGTGCTCGACTTCCTCACCTGCCACTCTACGTGTTTATGACGAAAACTCAATCACTCAATATTCATCGCTCGATCAAATAATTTAGGGTTTCATAAGCAATGCAATCTTCTTAGTTATAACGGGGCATGAAAATTAGAATCTTCCTTTAAATGATAGTTCAACATATACTCCATTTAGTAAGCACAACATTTGGAGATCAAATATATGTATAGTTTTATCAGATTTTTACTATAAAAGTGGATTTTTGCCCTCAATTTACACATTTCTTCCATAATTTGTAAGTTTTGCTAAATAAATCTGCTCGCAAGAGATAGTCTTTGCATAGAATAGACATTTTACTAGTTTTATTGCTTGAATTGAAATTCTTGAAGTATCTTAATTTACACACTTCTGGAAATTCATGCAGTTAATTGTTATTAATGAAAAAATGTCACATCAGATTACACAGACAATTAATAATATGGCCTACTTGTTTCTCATTCTTTTTTTCTACGTATTTATTTTAAACCACACATTCACATAATAAAATATTTTATATGTAAACTCAATTTTTTTTTCTATTTTTAA